GGACTGGGGAAGATGGGACACTAATAATAATGACCCTACCGCAAGAGGCGCCGCGGTGATGAGACGGCGGCCCACAGGGCGTGATTGCACCATTAAAATATTGGCCAGGCGAAAGGGAAGGTGTGAGATGCCCGCCGTGCGCAGGGACCTGCACACCACAAGGCTGACCCTGACATTAAGGCACAGGAGACTCCACAGTCCTGGGACTGGCTGAACGTGTGAACGCAGGCGTGAGAAGGGAGGTGTTGAGCAGTGACACGGTGCTGGGAGAGACCGTCTCCCTCGCAGGAGGCGTCTCGGGAAGTGGACTTGAGGAAGACAGTGTGAAGATTTCACTTCCAGCCCCATTTCTTTGGCCTTGGTGTCCAGGACCTGTGAGCGAGAATGGCCCTTGCTGTGCATGAGAGAGGTCAGAGGGTAACACTTTTTGAAAGCTTTGTTTTCGTTTCCAAGAATAAATAAATGAATCGCTGAAGATTCATTATCTCTGCAAACTGAAAGGCAAGGAGAGATCATCAGAGGCAAATGCAACTGAAATTGGAAAAGTGAAATAGAATTTGCCTAACAGTAATGTGATACTTTCCACGGGGCCGGGGGGTGATTCTGATCTCCTAATTTAAGGACATAGGAGTAATCAGTTTATAGACTCCGAGTGTCAGCGGTAACTGCGCCGACCCTATGCCCTTATTTTACAAATGGTAGCACTGTCACATGGCAGGGTCTGAGGCTCTCCGAGGGCTCCAGTGAGTTCCCGGGAGCTTCGGAGCAGGGGCTGTTAGGGTGGGAAGACCTTGACACTGTGTGGACTTGGCTCCTGCACAGGCTTACGGGGCATCATCAGCAAGGCTTTCGCTAAAGACTAAGTTCTTTGATGTCTCTGCATGCAAATGAAATGCAGGAACATTTTGTTTAGACCTCTCGCCAGACGTCGGTCTACGCGATGAACCTGCACACGATGTTCTGGGTTCCCAGGGCTCTGTGCAAAGCCAAGAAGATAATTGCGTCCTCTCTGGAAACCTCAGTCTGGCAGAGGGCCTGACAGCTCTGCACGGAGCAGGACGTGCCTGGCGGGCCCAGGGAGACCGTGTTCCTGCGCAGCAGGCCGGGGGGTGAGTGGACGCTGCAAGGCAGCCCGGGGCCTCTGGCTTCTGCTGCGAAACCTTCTCCCTTGCATCCCGTGACAACACCGAATGTAACACACCAGACTGACAACGGCAGTTCCTCCGTTAGTGTGTGGACCTGAACACCTACAGAAATCTCCTTGGCGACCTGTGCACAAATGCCAGGGGTCAGCGTCCAGGTGCATCCAGGCGCTGGCAGGGCCCGCCTCCCCGCCTCCCCGCCTCCCCGCCTCCAGCCCCAGTCACCACTGCCACTCAGTGCCCTGGACACCCAGTGGAAGCCTGGAACCAAAGACTCTGACGTCACTCAAAATGTTGACGCTATGCTGTTTCCTACTCCGCGTGAAGTTTCTTTCTCAGATCCTGCATAAGCGCCCCCTCGTCCTGGCCACTGAGGGCAACTCTGCCTTCTCCTCCGTGCCCGTGACGTCCTGGGCTGGGGAGAATCCTGCTTCTCTCGATTGCTGTGGCCTCTCACTCCACGTCTGAAAACCGTGAACGTGGGTCAGGGGCACGCACTGCCCAGGAGTGACCGGCACTTGCAGGCCCGCTGGCTGGGGAACTGTGCCCCGCGGGCAGGGGCTTCGTGTGCACAGAGCTCAGGTTGTTTGGCCTGTGGGGGCCCAGTTGCTATTCACTGGTCACATAAATGCATGCGGCACACTACAGCATCCGGGACCTGCTAACACCGTGTTTCAGGTCCCCACAACAGGGCCTCCTGTGCCTGTAACCAGTTTCTGGAGGCTCCTCAGGAGTGGAGGTGTCTGCTTGGCCCCCGGAGCCTTCTAAGCGGAGCAGGAGAACAATGTGATTCCCAGGTGAGCCACCGTGGTGTCACCTTCTTCATGGTTCCTCCAGCCTCGTCTCAGACACGAGTCAGGGTCTTCTGCTGCCTGTCTGCAGCCAGGCCCCCAGACCCCCACTCACTCACTCAGCCCTGCCCCTCACTCAGTCCCCAGCCCCGCCCCCTCAGCCCCTGCCCCTCACTCAGTCCCCAGCCCCGCCCCCTCAGCCCCTGCCCCTCACTCAGTCCCAGCCCCGCCCCCTCAGCCCTGCCCCTCACTCAGTCCCCAGCCCCGCCCCCTCAGCCCTGCCCCTCACTCAGTCCCCAGCCCCGCCCCCTCAGCCCTGCCCCCTCACTCAGTCCCCAGCCCCGCCCCCTCAGCCTGTGTGCCTGTGCCCTCTCTGTTGGTCATCTTGGCGAGGTGTCCATTTGCCTCTGGAATGCAACTCTCCATCTGTCACTGGATGGTGAAAACAGTCACCGCAGACATCAGGGCGACCAAGAACGGTGAGAGGGGCTGGTGCTGTGGCGCTTAGGTTAATCCTCTGCCTGTGGCACGGGCATCCCATATGGGCGCCGGTTCAAGTCCCGGCTGCTCCACTTCCCATCCAGCTCTCTGCTGTGGCCTGGGAAAGCAGTGGAGGATGGCCCAAGTGCTTGGGCCCCTGTGCCCACGTGGGAGACCTGGAAGAAGCTCCTGGCTCCTGGCTTCGGATCAGTTCAGCTCCAGCCATGTGGCCACCTGAGGAGTGAGGCAGTGGATGGAAGACCTCTCTCTCTCTCTCTCTCTCTGTCTCTCTCTCTGTCTCTCTCTGTAACTCTACCTATCAAATAAAAATAAATAAGATATTTTTAATAAAAAGAATGCCTGGGAGCAGATTCACACTTGGCAATGATAACACAAATCTAAGAGCGTGGCATCACTAATTCCAGGCAACAGCAAGACCTTGAGATTCGCACCAACACACAGACAGTGGGGGTTCGGAAATTGGAACTTGCGATTGAACGTCTGCATTGCTGAGTTTTGTCGGTGGCCTTTCTGGTCTGACCCGCAGTCCCCGGGGCTTTCCGTTCCTTCACGGGCCTGGAAGAAGGATCCCTGCCTCTCGGAGGCCTCGAGGAGACTTCTTGGGGGGGCCCTGTCGGAGGCCCTCGTTCTCTCGTCTGCACCCAGACTCCGGGGCCCCAGATCGTGCTGTGATCCCCGTCTCTCACATGACGGCTGACACACGTGCAGCAGGGGCGGGTGTGCACACACACAAGTCCCAGCTTCCGTCTTCTGGGGCGCGCCCGCAGGAAGTCCCCTGGCTTTCTCCGACTGCAGCGCTGAAGACGAGACTTGGTCGTGCCGGGAAGCAGCAGCATCGAGAGGAGAGGCTGTCAGCTTCCTTTTTCCAAACGTTTGTTTATTTGAAGACAGGGTCACAGGGGGAGGGAGAGACAGAGAGAGAGAGAGAGCTTCTGTCCTCTGATTCGCTCCCCAAGTGGCCGCAGTGGCTGAGACTGGGCCAAGCCATACCTGGAGCCAGGAACTCCATCCTAATCTCCCACGGCAGTGGCAGGGACCCGAGTACTTGGGCCGTCACCCGCTGGCTTCCAGGCCCAAAAGAGGGAGCCGGAGTAGAAGCAGAGCATCTGGGCTAGAAGCAGTGCCCTGAGCCGAGATGCCAGTGTCGCGGGCAGCGGCGTAGCCCCAGCGTTTCCTTTTCGCAGAAGCCCCAGCCCCACTCTTGCTGTGTCACTCACTGGCTTTCTGGAGGCTTCTGAGTCAAGGTTGCTTACGGGTGGGCAGCGGTTTGGGCTTCCAGAGGCCGGGGAGTCTCGGCCTGGGGGCGGGGTGATCAGGCCTTAGGGATGTGCTCCAGACACTGGCTTGGCCACTGGGCCCAAAGAAGGGAGCCCTGGCCCTGCAGTGACCGGCTTCCATGGGCCCCACCTGCCCCGGCCCTGCAGCTCAGGGCACTCCTAATGGATATTGGCCTGCTGCACGGTTGTCACGCAGAGACTGGGAGAGGTCCACGTAGCAGGCCAGTGCTGGAGGACGCATCACTGCCCCCATGTTACGGGTGCAGCTCCCGCGGCCCAGGGAAGCCTAATTCCCTTGTCCAGGAGCCGGCGGTCGGAAAATGGCAGAGTCACGTTTAAAGTGCAGAAATGGAGGCTCCGGGCTCTGTGTGTTCCAACTAACTTCAAAAATAAGAAATGGGTTTAGGTTTATATGTGTGGAGACATGTGTCTGCATGTCTGTGTATGTGTGTGCATATGCCTCTGAGCGTGTGTATGTGTGTCTGCATATGTGTGTGTGTCTCTGCATGTCTGTATGTGTGTCTGTGGGTATGTGTCTGAGTATGTGTCTGCATGTCTGTATGTGTCTGTGTGTGTGTGTATGTTTCTCTGGGTATCTGTGTATGTGTGAGTGTATGTATGTATGTGTCTGTGTGTATCTGAGTGTGAGTGTGTGTGTATGTGTCTGTGTATATCTGAGTGTGTGTCTGTGTGTGTGTGTATGTTTCTCTGGGTATCTGTGTGTGTGTATGTGTCTGTGTGTATCTGAGTGTGAGTGTGTGTGTGTATGTGTCTGTATATCTGAGTGTGTGTCTGTGTGTGTGTATGTTTCTCTGGGTATCTGTGTATGTGTGAGTGTATGTATGTATGTGTCTGTGTGTATCTGAGTGTGAGTGTGTGTGTGTATGTGTCTGTATATCTGAGTGTGTGTCTGTGTGTGTGTGTATGTTTCTCTGGGTATCTGTGTGTGTGTATGTGTCTGTGTGTATCTGAGTGTGTATCTGAGTGTGTATCTGAGTGTGTGTCTGTGTGTATCTGAATGTTTTATGTATGTGTCTGTGTGTATGTATGTGTGTGTATCTGAGTGTGTGTCTGTGTGTGTCTGTGTCTCTGGATGTCTGTGCAGGCGTGTGATTTTCAACGCTCAGTAAGAGGCTAAGGCGATGCACGGGGCCCCGTGGGGGGCTGCAGACTATGGAGCTCTGTCACTGGTGGAGCCGCCACTCAGCTCCTCTGCTCTGGGCTTCCTGCTCGTTCTGGGAGGGCCCCGGTGTTCTTTCGTTTATTCATTAAATCAGTCAGATTCGGTTTACTTCCTTGCTCTTAATAAAAAATACATGGTGGATGTGAAATACTACTGAGACTGGAAACCGTGGAACTCTGCACTCGAGTCCTGGCTGCGCGTCACGTGCTGTGGGCTCATTTCCTCTGCTTTGGGGGAGCAGTGTGCTTCCTGCTGCACGTGCTGACACGGGCCGCTGGCGGCTGGGCTCGGGCTCCGCCTCCGCTGGCTGTGGGACCTGGCAGTCAAACGAAGTGCGCACGTGCTGTGACACGGGCCGCTGGCGGCTGGGCTCGGGCTCCGCCTCCGCTGGCTGTGGGACCTGCAGTCAAACGAAGTGCGGGGTCAGCTCCCTCATCTGGAAGCAGGACAAGGGGAGTGTCAATTTCGCACCCTCTTCTCTAGGCATTGGACACTACCCGGGGGGTCTTCAAAAACCCGTGGAGGTGTGTGTCATCAAAGAGCGCAGATGAGTTTCAGAAATGTTTGCACCTAATTCTCTTAGCTTTTAGTTCAACGTCCACAGTTTTTTGAGTGCCTCATAGTAGGGTCCTCAAGAGAACCAAAAGGAAGCTTCCATCTGAGGGACAGGTCCACACACTCACAGACCCGGAGGTGGATGAGAGGTAAGGTGACAGATGTTAGTGTGCTAGCTGGTCATAGATGGAAGACAAATGGTAGACGGATACACAGAAGAGAGAGAGAAAGAGACACAGAGAGCCTCGACTCACACAGTCATGGAAGCCGGGACGTCCCAGATCTGCCGTCTGCAGCTTGGAGATCCCGGGACCCCAGGGTGTCACAGAGTCTGTGTTCCAAGGCCTGGGAGCTGAGGGTGGGGGAGGGGAGGGTGAGTTCCACCCTGAGTCCAAAGGCGTGGGTGCAGGGGTGCTGACGTCGGGAGGCAGCAGAGGGACGAGATGCGCCGCCTCACCCAGCCCTCGGTTCCAGGGGGCCGCGGTGGTTTGGATAATGCAGGCTCTTCGTTCCATTGTGGGCTCAACACTGATTTCTTCCAGAAACAGGCTCGCAGCACAGTCAGCTCAGGCCGCCCCTCAGTCTGCTCGACTCCCAGAACTTGACCATCACCGTCGGGAAGACCCAGTCGCCACTTGGAATGTGACTGGACTTAGTGCAAGGGCATTTCAGACATTCATGGAGAAATTAAAAGATAAGCTTATTTGGGTCCAAAACTGTTTGATTTTCATGCATAGCTTTAGCATAATACATATTTCTATAGAATTTTCTGAATGATTTATTTATTCAAAAGGCAAAGCAATAGAAAAAGATCTTTGATCCGCTGGTTCACTCCCCAAAAGGTCACAATAGCCAGGTTGGGCGAGGTCACGGGGGGGGGGCCGGAACTCCACCCAGGTCTCCCCATGGTAGCGGGGCCCCTGCCCTCACGGGCGCATTGGCAGGGAGCTGCGTGGGAAGTGGAGCAGCCAGGCCTCAGGTTGGCAGCGGTTGCCCTCTCCTTTGGCCGCACGCAGGGGTTTATGGAGTCACCGGGTGTGCTTGGTGCAGAGCTGGCAAGGAGGCCACGGAAGGTACTGTGATGAAGTCCACGGCCTTGAGGAGCTCGGGGGAGCGGGCGGGACGAGTGTTAATTATTCATCACTGGAATTCACAGGCTGTCAGTGTCGCATAGACAGAGCATCTGTGTGTATTAGCTCCTAACCAGTCCACGTAACTTTATGAGTAGACTCACGGTCAGTACTTACAGAAGGAACCCGAGGCTCAGTGTGTGTAGCTTGCCGGTGCCACCGACATAACGTGGTCTCTCCAGCGTCCAAGGCCACGTCACGTGCATCCCAGCTGAGGCCCTCGCTCGCTCTGTGAGACCCTCTGCTGTGTACGACACCCACCTACCCATTAGTGTCTGTGTCTCGTGGACAGCAAGTGCCCTCAACAGCTGCACAGCCCCCGGCATGGCTAAGGTCCCCCCGCTGTGACATGAGCCTGGACTTCAAGGTCCCCCCGCTGTGACACATGCCCTGACCTCAAGGTCCCCCTGCTGTGATACGTGCCTGGTCTTCAAGGTCCCCCCGCTGTGACACGAGCCCGGACCTCAAGGTCCCCCCACTGTGACACGTGCCCTGACCTCAAGGTCCCCCCGCTGTGACACGTGCCCAGTCTTCAAGGTCCCCCCACTGTGACACGAGCCCGGACCTCAGGTCCCCCCACTGTGACACGTGCCTGATCTTCAAGGTCCCCCTGCTGTGACACGAGCCCGGACCTCAAGGTTCCCCCGCTGTGACACGTGCCTGATCTTCAAGGTCCCCCCACTGTGACATGAGCCCGGACCTCAAGGTCCCCCTGCTGTGACACGTGCCTGATCTTCAAGGTCCCTCCACTATGACACGAGCCCGGACCTCAGGTCCCCCCAGTGTGACACGTGCCTGATCTTCAAGGTCCCCCCACTGTGACACGAGCCCGGACCTCAGGTCCCCCCACTGTGACACGTGCCTGATCTTCAAGGTCCCCCCACTATGACATGAGCCCGGACCTCAGGTCCCCCCACTGTGACACGTGCCTGATCTTCAAGGTCCCCCTGCTGTGACACGAGCCCGGACCTCAAGGTTCCCCCGCTGTGACACGTGCCTGATCTTCAAGGTCCCCCTGCTGTGACACGAGCCCGGACCTCAAGGTCCCCCTGCTGTGACACGTGCCTGATCTTCAAGGTCCCCCCACTGTGACACGAGCCCGGACCTCAGGTCCCCCCACTGTGACACGTGCCTGATCTTCAAGGTCCCCCCGCTGTGACACGAGCCCGGACCTCAAAGTCCCCCTGCTGTGACACGTGCCCAGTCTTCAAGGAGCTGAGGAGAAGGTGACACCTGCAGAACACGACTGACGCCGTGCGGGGAACCGTGCGAGGATGCGACCTGAGGAACATTCTTAGGGGCTGGGAAGCTGCAGGGCCTTGCCGTCACCTGAGCAGGTGGCCCCTGGCTGGCCCCAGCAGGTGAGCAGGGCTTCCCAGGGCTGGAGAGAGCAGCGATGCCCAGGACGAGGGTGTGGGCTTTGCCACGGGTGATCCAGGAGGGCCCCTCGCTCCTGGGCCTTAAACGCATCACTTCTGCCGTGTCCCCGTGGTCCTGTGCCTGCATCCGTCACACAAGTGGCTCTGGGGCACTCAGCTGTGATGAGGGGGCCAGACTCGGGGGCGGGCATCCCCCCTCTGTGCTCACTGCAGGCTGCCCACCCCTCCCACAGAGCCTCCGCGGCTGTGCTAACTAACAAAGCTGAGAGGGCACCTGGGGAGGGTGTGGCTGAGGCCCCGCACCTGCTGCACTGCCCCCTCCAGGGCTCCGTGGGAAGTGGGACCTCCAGGGTCCCCTGCTCCCGCCCCACACAGGGCTGTCCAGGTGTGTCCTGGCCATGCAGTCCCGCCTACCCTGGTGTGAAATGGGTTCCGAAGGAAGTAAAACGGATTGCTGAAACCTGGCTGCTGGCCCACAGAGGTGTGTCGGCTGCAGGCCCCCTCAGCGTCTTCGACGTGTGGCACGCGGTCCCGTGCGTGGACGTTGGGTGAGGAAGCCCGCCCGGCTGCCTTTCCGAACCCCCTGCAGCGTCATCTGAGGTCACTGCTTCCTGTGGGCTAGAGCATGGGGACGCGGCCGTCTCTAGAAGACCCACGTTCAAGTCGCTGCTCGGCCGCTGACCTCCTGTTTCGTCTCCCGGGTGACAGACACAGCCTTGGGTGGCAGACCTACCCTGGCAGGTGGACAGTGTCAGAAATGGCAGTCGATTGCCATCATCACCTTCGTCATCCTCACATTTAAACCCTGACGCACTGGGACAAGGGACACCCCAGCTCCAAGGCTGTGTGAGTGGAGAGTGGGCGGGGCTTCGCAGCGCAGGCAGCAGGAAGTCCCACCCTGCAGCACCTGGCCTCCCACCTCCTGAGCATGCAGGCGAGGTTTGGGGTTTCCTGGTCCCGTGCACAGCTGTGGAGTCCCTATGACGCTCGCCAGGAGCCCCTCCGCCTCTAAAGCAGGTCGCTCCCCTGACCACTGCCCCAACCATTGTTCCACGAGGAGAGCCCAGCTCGAAGGGCAGCACAACCTGTCAGAGGGATGGAGGTGTCCTGGCACGGCCTTCGTCGGCTGGAGGGGGGAAGCCGCGTCCCTGTGCCGTCCGCCGTCTAGGAAAGCCGCGTGGTGCTGTCTCTCCTCGGAAGCTGTGCAGGTGCTCCCTGCCCAGAGCGCCCCAGGCTTCCACACTGGGGAGCGCGTGCTGAGTCCTGGTGGCTGGGTGACCACTGCCCACCCAGAGTGTCCACTGCTGCCACTGTCGAGGCGAATGTTCCTCCCCCGGCTTGCACATCCAGAGCGTTCTTTGCTTCCTGGTGTAGAGGTGTTGCTAGCACAAGCGCACACGCGTCTTCTTCCCGTCTGGGACTGGGGGAAGGAGCATGACTCAGCCCGGGGAACATTGGAGTAGATTCCGGTTGATCCAAAATCGTCGCTGACATTGAAGATGCTGCCGTCTAATTGGGGACGTGAGCCTGAAATAGAGCATCCGCCGGAGTGAAGCTGACTGGTGATTACAGCTCACAAATTAGGAGCGCTTGTCGGAGATGAGCGGATGGGGTCACAGGAGTCCCGGAACGGCCTCACAGCGGCAGGGCGCGCAGCTGGGGAGCAGCGGACGAGCCAGGCACGGGAGGTGCTGTGCGCAGGGCCTTTGCACCTGCAAGGCACGGCAAGAAGATCGGGTTTCGACACAGACCACACAGGCAGCCTTGTGAATTCCAGACAGGAGACTTCCGCCGGCTTTGGGGTGAAGGACGTGGAGAACTAGAGCGGCTCAGGGCCTGGAGGTGACGCCTGCTCAGAGGAGGTGTGGGACAAGTGGACACCTGTCCTCTCCCGGGGGCCACACCCTCCCTGCCAGCTGGGCCCTGCTTCCTCCTCTCCTGGGGCACTGAGCTTTGTCAGCCTCAGCAGGGCCAGCACTGTCGATACTCACTGGGGCTTGTTCCCCGATGAGCACCAGTCAAGTGCAAAAGGCCATGCAGGTTAGGGCAAAGAGGGGTGGAGATGTGGAACCTGTGAGAATTGTGCCCACTGGTACAGGGCTGAGGCCAAGCTGAAACGGGGGAGTAAGGGCACAGGAGGCCTGCCGTGGCCGTGCCGAGGGACTGCAAGGGTGGTTAATCGGAGAACCAGGCCTGAAACACGGAGTCAGCGGAGCCGTGACTTGTGGCTGTGTTGGAGGGGAACCGGGCCTTGAACCAGGAGATGCAGAAGCTGAGAGCCTCAGGCCGTGAGGCACAGGGGAAGCATCTTGACCCATGGTCCTGATTGACCTTGGAGCCTCTAACTGGAACTTGAGACGCCTGGCCGAGGGAGAGGCGCCCGTCTCCCGTGTCACACTGGGCTCTGATTTCTGCCACTGGGCATTTCCTGTGCGTGCCCCTAGCCTCGGTGGCTCCGAGCAAGGGAGGGGGCCGCACTCACCCCAGAAGTCGTGCAGGGCTTCCCGTGATGAGCCCAGGGCAGGGTCTGGCTCGTGGCGATGTCTTATAAATGTTAATTCCGTCTCCCTCGATGGTTCGTAGATCAAGATTCATATTAATTCACTGTCCCCTCCGGGGTGCGTAGACCGACAGCACTGACGGCTTACCATCGCTGCCCAGCTCGCCTGGGGGAAGGCAAGGGCGAAGCTCCTTAAGCAGGGGGAGCCTGGGGCAGGCGAGGACCTGGCCCGGCAGGGGTCCCTGAGCTGGGCAGGCTCAGGCGCAGAAGTCAACCCGAGCGACCCAAACCCCGGCTGTGCCCTGGCTCTCCTGCCGGGGGTGCGCCGCCTTGCACTTTGCGCGAAGCCCTACCCGTGGTCAGCCGTGCGCCGGCCCTGGTGCCTGCAGGCAGTGGAGGCTGAAGCCCACCGCCCCGTGGAGTCGCTTTGCAAGGCTCCACGCCAGGGCGGCCTGGGTCCTTCCCCACTCACACTGGAAATCTGTCTGCATCCTTCTCACTCGGGCTGGGGGAGTCCGAGATCAGGACGCACCTGCCCTGGCCTTCCGCGGGCATCCGGTTCTGCCCTGGGGGACTGGACCCAGCCTCCTCCAGGTCCTCTGAGAGACAGAGTCAGCAGAGCCAAGGATACTGTCCCTGAGGGGCCCCTGTGACCTCAGAGCAACTTCCCAGCGTGGGGGCCTGCAGTGGGCCTGCCCTGCCCAGTTCCGGTTTTGTGTACATAGCGTGACCTCTCAGGGTATCTTTCTCTCCCCCCTCCTCTCTCTCTCTCTCTCTCTCTCTCTCTCACTGTCTTACAAACAATCTTCAAATAAATGACCATGGAGCATAGGGCCCTGCTGGGGTGTGAGCGGAACAGGAGACACAGTCTGGTCTCACAACCAAGGGCGTCCCAGTGCCTGGTGCCCCCGGCCGCCTGGGTCGGGCAGGCGTCCCATTGGCAGGGACCAGTAGCTCTGGATTCAAAGCTGCAGCGACACCGAGGACGACCGAGGACGAGGGGTGCCGAGCCCGCTCTGCGTGCCCCCACGTGCCGGTCCTTGCCTGGTGCCGCCTGCTCAGGAACGGGCTTGCCTTTGCTGTTTGTCTCCCCTCCCCCATCCGCACAGGGCTCCTGCCAAGAGAGATTCGAGGAGAGGTGGAGACCTGCCCTGAGCCCGTGAGGACTCTCCTGCCCTGTGCCCTTCTAGGATCCGTCAAGGGGCCTTGGAGGGAACAGGGCGGTGACGGTGAGTCAGAGACGGCCAATCCCGGACAGCAGGGCAGAGCACTCCCTGCAGATCCACTGTGGATGAAGGGAAGGCAACCTGAGACTCAGGCCTGAGGAGGGGGCTGCATGGTGGCCCCTCCTCCTCCCCCCCCAGGCTGCCAACTCCGGGGACGGGAGGAGTCCGAGAGAACGTCACCCCCCCCCCCCAGAATGTCTCGCTGCCTGCTGACTTCTGTGGACTTGGTTCATCCGCGGTTTGAGGTTTGAGAGATGGGCTGCCTGCCTTTGTCCTCAGCTCATGATAAA